GCAGAGCTGAAAAGTGGTTCGGAAGCAGCAAGAGTTCCGATGGTGGCTCGTGGCGGCGCGCAAGGTTGGCCCGCAAGAAACAGAGGAACGCCACCGCAAGGACGGATTGCACGACCCTGGACTCGGGGAAAACCCCCTCCCGTTTGGAGAGTGAGAACGACAGCGAAAGAGAGGAGAACAAGAACGAGAACGAAGAAGGGTGCGTTCAAGCGACCGYTTCGAAAGGAAGGGRAAAWAGGTCGCCGTCCCTTTCCTCGTCCCCCAGCAGCACGCAGAGCGAGACCGAGATGCCGTCCCCCTCCGACAGCGAAAGCGACGGCGAGACCGAAAGCGGTTGCCAAGCCGTCGCCCGAGAGCGCCGTCCCGCCTCCGAAGAACACGGTTCCCCCTCCCTGATCGACGAGCTGAAGCAAGGGATGGAAGCGATCGACACGGAACTCGCATCGATCGTTCGCTCCTTCGACAACCCCTAGCACATCGCCGAAGAGGCACGCCCTACCCGAACGGAACCGCATCGATCCGGTGCCGTTGGAGTGCGCTGGGTGGCGAGCGTTGGCTTGCTGGCTAGGCTAGCGTTGCGTTGCGTCGTAGCCGAAGCAGAACAACAACCTCCCTAGCTCTGTAACAAAAGTGTAGTATGGTATTTTGTGGTTTCGCCCTGCCTCGTGCAATAGTGTAGTTGTGTTGCCGGAGCGTAGATGTCTTGTCTCGCAGACCGCTGCGTTCCTGTTGCTAACGAATACTCAGTACTGCTGTGCCGAGAGATTCTGTTCCTTGTTGCTCGCTACACCACGAAACCGCAGAGCTTTCCCATACCGTACCGCGGCGTGCTGTAGCGCAGCAGACCGGGATGGACGCCTGGCACCGAGTTTTAGCATCGATGTAGCATTGCTGGCGTGCGCTTTCTCGATTCGATTTTCGACTTTTGATTCGATTCGATTCGATTCGATTCGATTCACGCCGGAGGGGCCAAAAAGGTCGCTGTCTTGGTCGTTTGCGTGCCCTGCGCACTTCCGCTGCCGGTGCAAGGGCTCTTGCCGCCATGGTGGTGCTTGCGGTTAACTGGGTGCCGGGGATTTCTCGGTGTTTGGCGTCTTCGGAGCTTTGTTTTGTGAGCAAGAAAGAGCCGAATGGTACGGCATGTCGTGCAGTAGTACCGGACAAAAGAAAATCTGTCAACGAAAAYAATAATAAATATCTTGCTACAGAAACKRTTACTGTAACCACAGGCCGAGCTGCCGATGCGGTCRGTTGCGCAGAAGAAATACGGCGAGTACGAGTACGAGTACGAGTACGAACGTAACGGAATTACGCACGTGAAAAATCCAGGTACGGGGATTGCTCTGTACGTACGTACGTATGTATCATAYCATACGATGCGAAGGCTCGTTCGGGTCGCCGAATGTAAACGAAGAGCAAGTGTCGTGACAGAAATTACCCGCSTGGCATAATTCGGAMGGCGCAGCGCAGGCATATACGAAGAAACYKGTWTTCTTYTWCCGTGGAGTCGCGTGGAATGGAACACCACGAACCRAAGCTCACCCCGGAATTCGTGACATTCTTCTTCCGCCAACAGACCACCAGTACGGTAGTACGAACGATTGGAACTCCGAGCGCACCCCCCCAYGAGATACGAMGTATACTTCGWAGTTGGCTGGATTGAACGTGTACGAYACTTCTAGTATCGGACCGTGTGGTCGTTCGATAGTACCGTCTTGCAACGCAAACAAAAGTACTARTTACCGAACACAAAAGGAGCACGAGCGTTTTTATCGGTAGGTGCGATAGTACGGTRCTGTACGACATCGTAGAGAGCATTGCTCTTCGTCGTTATGGTGGCAAATAATTAAGAAGACAACGAACACAAAACTGCTACTAAATCACAACCGAAAACTAGCGTTTCTGTTTTTGTTTCTGTTTCTGTTCCAATCCCGCATTTCGTTGCCGCTCTTGTTGCCTTTGTTCTTTTCCAGAACGAAACAGAACGCACACGGCACTCGAACACCATCATCATTAGCAGGAGTAGCAGTGGCAGCAGCAGTGACACCTTCGATGCCCTGACCGACAAGAGAGAGAGAGAGAGAGAGAGAGCACGGAAGGTCCTTGTGCTTGTGTGGTTCCCGGAACACGAGACGCGACGACACGAAACCAACCTGTTCTGGTTCTTCCTCCTCGCGCCGAGAACAAGAGACAACACAACACACAGTTTATAACACACAACACMGTTGGAGGCGGGGAAGAGCAACAACGCCACTCCACAGAAATACGACACAACACGACACAAAGCACAACACACAACACAACACAAAGCACAACACATCCCATGGGCCGTCGCCTTCGCCGCCACCSCATATGGAGCGGGGGATTGGTGGTGGTGGCGGTGGCTCTGGCGTTTGCCGTCATTCRAAACGGGAGTTCCGATGGCAGTMTCGATGGCAACAGCAACCTCGATATCGGTTTCAATGCCAGTCTCGGTAGCGGTGCTTCCGGRSCCGSKGCCGCTRCCGCTACCACCGCAACGCCGTTTTCCCTCGCTGYTCCGCACCCCGATCGATCGGCCTTGCATCGGGAACTCCACATCCTGCCGGAATCCACCGAGTGCACGCTCTTTCTCCGGCAGACCGAGCTCGTGGCTGCCACCGGGGACGATCGCGAGGACGAGCACACKGACCGGACCTGGATGTGCGAACTGGCCCTGCCGCGGCAGCCAGCGGGACGCGGGGGCGACCCGGAAGGGCCCGCKCCACCGCCACCAYCCACCCGCAGGGTTCTGGTCGGCCTCTCGGGCCTCGACGGGGCCTTTTTCGAACACCACGGCGCGGCATCGGGAGAGAGCGTGCTGAGACTCGGAGGGGGTTGCTACCTCGCGGGTCAAGGTGCGGGTGCTGCCTGCGATGGGGATGCGGGCACCGGCGGACGAGATACGGCCTGTGGGAATGCGGACCCACGGGCGATGCCCTCGGGCACGGCGATCGTGGTTCCTCCCGGGGCCACTGCGGAGGTGGTGGACACCCGGGAGGGGGAGGGGGAGGCCCCCCACAACGTTTTTGTCCGGGGCCGSCCCCCCCGCTCCCGGCCCGGGGGAAAGGGCGTCCTCTCGACCCTGGTGGTCCGGATCGTCGCGGCGGACGGGACCGGGCCCACCGCAAACGAGGAGGCCACCCGCAAAAATGTCTTTACGGACCCGGTCTGCCTCCGGTCGCAGCTGGGGGCCTGCTCCAAGCAGCAGGCCCTCGTCGAGGCCTTTCACGGGGAGACGGAAACGGGGGTCTGGATCGAGGAGGGTGTCACCACCCTCCAAATCGACGGGGGGGCGGGCAGCAGCAWCTACAATARCAGCATCTACASMAACACCTACAGCGGCATCGGCATCGGCGACAACGGCCGCGCGGACAAGCACAACCACAGGCCGGTGCTGGGAAGAGCCGCCGAAACCGCCGAGGCCAGGCTCGGTCCGCTGGGGGAGCAGTTCGATCTGGTCCTCTTTTGCATCCCCYCCGGCACCGGAACCCACTGGAAGGCRGAGGCCACCATCGGCCGCTTCGATTCCTACTACAACGACGAGTGGTGCGGGTACATCTCGGCACAGATGCACGAAGTGGTAAGAAAACGACGATGYAATGCAGGGCGAGRCGAGRCGAGAAAGGGTACGATCCGATGAGATCCGATCCGATGCTTCTCGAACCGCGGTTCTCTTGTACCAAATGCCGCTATAGCAAATGCCGATGCAAAAGACCGGTGCAAAGAGCTGACCAGGCAACCAATCTCATGTCCTTTCCTGTCCTTTCCTGTCCTTTCCTGTCCTTTCCTTCACTCTCCTCTTCTATCCGTTCGTTTCCTTTTTTGCAAAACACCCACAGGGACACAACCTCGGCCTCGCCCATTCCGGGCAGGCCGACGAGAACAACATCCGGAACGAGTACCTCGACAAATCGGGCATGATGGGCATTTCCTACAAGGGCAAAAACAGTCCCAGGATGTGCTACAACGCCGCAAAGAGCTACCAGCTCGAATGGTACAAGCGGCAGAGACTCTCGATCGACCCCACCGCCGAAGTCGAAACCAAAAACGACAACGWRCCAAACGGAGCAGAACAAACGAAGAAGCGGACGAGGACCTTTGTCATGAACGGTGTGGCCGACTACAAGCGCAACGGCCCGACCCACAAGAGACTTGTTTCTCTGCGCCTTGTACAGTCCTCCGGAACAACAACATCGAAACGAAAATCAAAGCCTAGAACCGATTACTACGTGGGCTACAACCGTGCCGTCGGACCCAACGCCGACACCAAGGAAGACGCCAACGCCATTACCGTGCTCGAGGCACTCCGCGCCGGGGGGAGTGGGGCCCGRGCGAAAAAGTCCTGGAAGCTGGCCTCGCTTTCCTACAAGGGGCAGAGGTTCTTTCTCAGAGACTTTGGGCGGAGCTCGGCCTTTGTCGAGGTCCGGCTCTTGTCGGGAAACCTTTCGTCCGGCCCGAGGGACGCGGAGATTGCCATTACCAGCTACCACAAGGCGGCCACGGGCAGCGAATGCGGTGTGGGTGGCACGGCCACCGACCACAAAGGCAGGACCAACCGCAAGGGCAACACGGGTTTTTTTGAGCTGGAGGGGAAAACCGACGAGTACGGCTACGAAACCTGGTGGCAGCTGAGGCTCGACGACGGCACCGATGGCAATGGCAGCGAYAGTGGCAGCGACAGTGAGAGTGACGATGAAGGCTACTACGTCGATTTCGGATCCGGATACGGTCCGAGCGAATCTTTTGGGGCCACACACCTGCTCTGCCCCGGAGAGTGCTACGTCTTTTCGATCCACGACCTCTATGGRGACGGCATCTCCGAAGACTCGGGCGGCTACTACCGGTTGTCTCTGGCCGGGGTCGATCTCTTTTCGTCGGGTTCGAGCAGCAACAACACCAACACCAACAACTTTGGTTTCTCGGAGTCCTACCGGTTCTGTGTGCCACCGCTGGCGATCCCCGACGCGGTGTGCAAGGACCGCGGGCGGCTCCGGTACAAGAACGATCGGACCAAAAACTGCGGCTGGGTCGGRGAGCGGGGACCGAAGAAGACGAGGAAGCGGTGCAAAAAGAGATGGAAGGGAAGGACCCTGGCGGAGTGGTGCCCCCGCACGTGCGGGGCCTGCTCCGTTCCGGAGACGGAAGCGGCCGCTAGAGGCACGTTGGGCAAGTAGTGCGGATCGAACCGAACCAAACCATACCAAACCGAATCGCTCCGACACACACACACACAAAAGATCGGCATCGATTGCGCCGCAACCGCCAAACAACAAACCTGCCTCGCACAGTAGGTATACTAGGAATAAACTTGACAAAAATGCTCCAGCAGGAGAATAGATGRTAGAAAACACACAACGCTTTCCCGTTCGATGGCTTTCAAATGTTGCATTGCCATTCCCGTCACGGTGCGGGTGGTCCCTTTTATTTCGGTGAACGATCAGTCCACCGGTGSGATACGACCGCCAGCGGGATTTTAGCTCTAGCGTACAGGATCGACCGGTGTGCAGCACATTACGTACCGTCGAACCGGAAGGTTTTTGAAAAACATGACGGTTGGATGCTGAACGGGGTACGACAACGATGTACATGCACGTACTTGTAGATTCGCACTTGTACCAGTAAAATACTAMTTGCTACCACTAATGAAAGGTATTTGTTGATTTGATAATTCGGCGAATTGCTCTCGGAGGCATCGTTGTTATTATTGTTTTGGTTTCTCTCGTATCGTACGAGTTACTGCCTAGTCACCGTACATAGTAAGAAGATTCCCACCGTATCGTGGTTTTTTAAAGCGAGTACGAGCGCCTTAGAGAGCGCTCCACTAGTAAGCGATTTAGTTATTTTATGTTAAGAGAAATCTGTTATTGGAATCGATTCCGATTTCGATTCTATTCCATGTTAATAACTAGTCTCCGGAAATCGATTTCGTTTCACCGATTCGATTTCTCAAAAAGTGAGCAAAAAAATTCGATATAAAATAGTTCCTTTTTGGTTCCAGGTGGAACTAAGTGACAGCTTGGGCTCCAGGGTGTAATATATCGCACTGTTCTTCACGTAGGCCTGTGTAGAAATAATACCAGAAAAAGGCTGTCACGCGATATTTGACACCACAACCTCGTACCAGGTACACGAGGAGTGAAGGCGCGAGCACTTTTTTAGTCGTTCGTACCGGTACGACATCATGTGGATGCACATGTTCCAAATTCCAAACATGCCACCTCTCAGCCACGACCAGAATCCAACAGTWTTGTTCTACTAGTCCGAGAACGTACGAATGTACTGGGTCGTAGGTAAAAATCATCATGTCTGCTTCGGCTCACAATTATTAATTCTCTCCGGACCATAAAAAGAAACCACAAGAATAATTGATACGCACGTCGCAACGAGTATCCAGCTGTATCATTACCATGCCCCAAACAAGAGCAARCACGCATGGCAAAASTTCCATAGAAGCTGTCGGCAGCGGGAATCGAGACGAAATCGAAAGAGAATCGCGCGACGAATCATACGACGACGAATACGATTGCGATTGCGACATTTTCCGCTCGCGTTTGCCTTTGCGTTCGCATTCARATTTGTAYTTCTGCCACGACGATCCCGAAGATTTTGTGGTCCAGGCCGCTCGTGTTGGTCGGRGYGGAGGCACAAGCAGCAGGAAGTGCAAACGCAAACCAAACACCAACGCTCACAAGAAGAAGAGGAGCGGCAGTGGTGACAAAAACAACAAATGGATGACCGTGTACTCMACGAGGCACATCCGTGCAAAGGAATCGCTAAGGGAATCGGTACGGTCGAGAAGTAAAACAGCATAACAAATGTTTGTCTACTAGAAATAAAAATGAACAAGGAGGCGTAAAAGCAAAAATAACATCAACGAAAAACCCGAAATCCATATCACAATCGCAACATACCACTCGATACCATTGCCGGTACGATACCGTACGATTCATTCTCGTTCGAAGGTTTTGAGGACAARCTTTCTACCACTTGCGAAAAAGCATAGTGAGGAAGTGACGTTGATTGAACTAGTGGGAATGTGCCGATGGAAGAAAATTGTTTCTCKTGCGGAACCACGACTTGCGCATAGCACTAAAATAATTCACTTCTGTGAGCCTAAATCACGAGTAGATAGTGAATAAGCTCACTCTTTATTGTAAACACGTAAATACGACACTAAAGAGCACACGTACATTTTGCAGGTTACGAGCAACAACAGACTTACCTCAGCTCATCATCAACCTCCCGCTCCACAAAGTCRAACAGAGTAGACTGATTTATTACTCATCGACTCCTTGAACTRGAGCTATTCAAACAGAGACTGGCTTAATTTTTCGGAAAATTCTGGAAGAGAACCAGTACTAAATCACGTAGACTCATACGGTTCTCCAACTCAGAACAGAACCCTGGTATCAACACACCAGTGCAACTTCGACCCCCCCACCACCACCACCACCACCATCAATATAAATTGACATCGCTTTGGTGATCGGATCATAATCTCTGTATGCTGCCAGTATGTACTACGTACTGGTAGGTAGAAAAACTATCTAGRAAAATAACCAACCGCGTGATCTACCGTACGTTGCGAACTCATAGTGTTCGGGGCTTTATCGAAAAGGATCGTAGTGACCGAAAATGGACATTCTRTGACCCTTGCGGAATGGCGAAGGTTCCGAAATAAAATACTGCCATTTCTACGATGCTACAGTACAAGTATTRCAGGGAGGTTCAAGGATCGATGAATCCAGCAACCCGCAACTTACGTGCATGAGCAAGCACAATCACAAGCACACGACAAGTGAGGGAAAAAAAACAAGAAAAAAAACGAAGGCATAATGCAGATCCACCGAAATCCAACGAACGACGATTCTGCTGCCGGCGAAATTGACTCGCCGACCATCAAGATGGACTACCCTAGCTGGAAATTGGGCAAAACGAACTTGTCTTCGTCCGACCATGAGGAACACGCGGGTTTGAAATCTCCGGCGTCCCCCACAYTGGTGTCGCGCGCGAATTCTCCCGCCAACAAAGAGAAAGAACGAAAGAGAGCGAGAGCAAAAAAGAAAGCAAAAGCGAAAGCGAAAGCGAGGAGAAAAMGGCTCGATTCCGACTCGGATTCGGACTCCGACTCCTCCTCAGAAGAATCGGACTCTGACTCCGACAAGTATCGAAAGGCGAGGAGGGCGTCGTCGAGAAGAGAAGGGTGCGGGTGGGTTTTAAAGTGTGTTTGCTTGGGAGCTATTTGCGGGCTTGTTAACGTGGTYATCATGGAATCCAATCTCGTCAAGCTCGATAATCTCAACTATAAGGATCTCAAGCTCGAGGGAAAGCTTAAGGATCTCAAGCTCGAGGAAAAGCTCAAGGGCCTCAAAGACAACCTCCCAAGGATTGAAATCCACTATGGTGATGAGTCTCCGCAATCAAAAACGCCTGAGTCTCCGCAATCAAAAACGCCCCGCACGGTCAAGAAGAACAATTGGGTAAAAGCAAGCTCGGACAGCACAGACAAAGACATCTGGAAGGTCAAGCCCGCGACTATCAAGAAAATCGTCACAAAGGACAAGGTCCAGAAATTTCGCCGAGACGATGAAGACAAAAATGGCGCCAAACCGAAACCCAAAATGACACCGCCACCGACTCCAAAGCCAACAGTGCCGCCACCRACTCCAAAGCCAACAGAGCCGCCAACGGACACCTTGGCTCCTACAATTCCATCCCCGGAAGAAAGGCAATGGCAATTGTATAAGGCCACTAAGGCTGAATTTGAGTCAGTCATGCCATGGAAGAACTCTTCGCTTTTTACCACCGTGAGCCGAACCGTTTTCCACCAGCTAGCGGAAGACGCTCTGCGCGCCGCAAAACCGGTGGTGGACGATGTCTACACCTCGTGTGAGATCTACCTCATGCCCCCGAATGAGGATGAGGGTGCCAAGAAAGACRAAGCATGGAAACCCAGGGTTCAATTCAAGTGCCTCGGCAAAGGCAACGACAGCGATAGCGTCAAACTCCAGGACAAAATGTGCCACACGGCCAACATATGCAAGGTAGTCTTCGACGAGGAAGYGTGGGAAAAAGAGCTAAAGGTTCCGTTGGACCTCGGCTACAAAAAGTACGAAGCCGTGGAGGCCGCGAGAAAGCACCGCGTACACCCGAAGAAATCGGCCATTCTCATGATGGTAGGTGACCTCGACTACCTTACTCAAGACGACGTCTTCAAGGCCACCCTCAACAAGGCGTCCTACGCATACCGATCCAGCCATTCCTTCTATTTATGGATCGGTGAGCTYAAGTCCTCCGTGCTCGACAAGAGAGAAATCGAGTCGGTCGGACCCGCCCTGGGGGCTAGATGCGCCGACAAGCATCTGCCCAACAGCATGCACTACTACAAGCCCATCGCCTTTTTGGTACTCCTAGACATGCTACCGAAGTCGCACTCGACATCCATCTTCTACATGGACGCCGACGCCGAGTTCACTACTTTGGCTTTTGAACACATGGACAACARGTTGAACTACGGGATCGGACCCGAATCCTACCTCGAGGTATCTCCGCAGGCCTCRCTGTTGGCGACCCAGAACATCAAGGGGAAAATGCTCATGAACAGCGGYATCATGCTGCTACGAAATACCCGCTGGGCAAGGGAACTGTCGGCCATCTGGTGGCACGCCCGCTGCGGGTCGAAGGACCAACTGGGGCTCTGGATCGCCCTCTTTGCTTCCTTGAGTGCCTGGACCACGGATGTGCCGAGCGATAAGAATAAAAAGGAAGCCTTCGCTCCGACACAGTACTCGTACCCGGGTCAGATCTTTTWCACCTACGAATCCGCCATTCACAAGACGTTTGGGCACTTCCGAAACAACGGGCACAAGATCCAAGCCGCATGGGAAGAGATCACCGAACATCAAAAGAAGAACGGGGGGCTGAAGAATGACAGCGATGGCTACAACCTTCCCATCCCCACCAACACAAAGCTCTACAACGGGGGCACGTACCCGGGCCTTTTGCCGATCCTCCGCGGGGCCATGGAGCTCCCGCACTTTGTGATTGCCCCGCAGGCACCGATTCGATACAACTACGACAAGGCAGCAAACGCSACCGGCGACGAGAATGCGAACACGYTGTTGCTGCTGAGGCTTAAGTCCGAGGACGGAAATTCCTTCGTAGCCCACAGCAAAGCCCTCGAGAGTTGTTCGAAGCAGCGATGCTGGCCATTCTTGTCGGAGAAATAAAGAAAAMAAGCGAGTGTWATTCAATGCGATTGTTTTGTGTCGCCTAGCATTGACCGTCATGATRATGTACGTAGATGAGGGGAACATTAAGTTATCCCCGGCAAAGCTCTGTTTCTAATGCATGTTTGAATAAAGGAAGATTTTGGAACTATGATCAATTTCTTTGGAACAGTAGACAACACACATTTCTTATCCTATCTGTTTCGAGAAAACCTCGCCGTAAAGCTTTTACTGGGGCAAAAAAATTTGCAATCGACACACTATTTTTCTAAATTGTTCTTTGTAGTACTTTGTGATTTCAACTATTTCGATGCACCTACTAGTGCGGTAGCACGTTTCTTCCGTGGGATGTTATCTTTCTTTAATCGGCCTAGAGTTGACATCGCCCATCTTCGAAAAAGGAGGCAGTGCTCCTCACAGCGAGCAATTCTTTCTGCCATGCAGAAATCTAAATATCACCACTACTAGTACTACTACATGCATGTACTAGCTACTACAACAAGTAAACCAGCAGTAGCACAACACCAGTTCTTAGAAGAAGWAGTAATGCTGGACGTTCCTCAGTAGTACTAGTAGCAGTAGTTGCGAGAACCAACAGTCAAGGTTCTCTAGTAGTACATTCAAGCAGTTAGAGCACTGCTGGTAACAGAACATCCCAAGAAGTCATAAGAGTCCAAAAAATATGCAGGGGGAGAGGAGTGGAATGTTTAGGGGAACGGGAGTAGAATATGCCACCCCCCCGGTAGAAGGTCGCATACCCCCGAATACAGTCGGTAGCTTGAATCGAATTCAACTCGACCCCTTCGACTAAAATGGCACCCTTCTCTTCCATCAGACACGCCGTTGCCCATCACATTTTTCGATACGAGTTTGTGACAGAAAATGTCCATGATAAGTACGATAGCAATGCKCAATTTATTTCTTCTTACGGGGGTTTCTGTTTCGTTGACGTAATACCGGTACCGGTACAGTGAGATTGGTTCATTCCCACTGACGACAACCATTTCTYTTGACACTTTTTTTCTTTCGACATCAACAGCATTGCCAACTACTGATACATAATGTTTCGACCGCCAGTTGGCTTATGCCTCATTCTTTGATTCCCGAACTGCTGTTGACACCTCCTTCCCACCTGCCAGCCAACGCAGACGCCTCGTCGTTGTCTGTTTCTAATTGATGAGATTCAAACTCTTTTCTTGTTCTTTCCATTCTGAAACGCTTGTTCTCCATTAACAATGGGTTGAGAAGTTGTGAAACCTACCGGCATTTCTAATGACAGCCATTGACAACTTAAATACGAGCAGCACCGGCTGACTCTCATCGAGGCCGCTGTTTCAAAAAAAGCTTGGTCGCCTTCGTCACGGTCCCGCCACTCGTGCTTCAAATTATTTAAGGGTCGTTCTTCCCAAACAGTATTGATGTTGGATGATTCGTGTGCGTGCACCCGATAACTCCCACTACCGGTACATCCCCGTGTCGTCTCTGCGTTTGTGCGTCGTGTTGCRTACCGCAAGGGTGTGCATACACTCGTACCTGTTCTGAACCATCAATCGTGTTCTCGTGAACGATTGCCATGATTCGCAATAACGATTGTTTCGTATGCAATCCTTTTCCGCCTACCGTAATTTGAACCTGACTCGATGACTTGTTGATTGAATTGATTGATCGCTCGCAGGCAGGAGAACCTGCGGTTCGTCAAGTGGATTGCAAGGAATTCGTGAATCCCTAGTTCGATTCGACTTGCAAGGCGCCTCTTGTTCGTTGAGCAAGAACATTGGGACGATAGACAATGTTTCGWATCGAATGAAATTTTATTCTAATAAGTTTAGTGTAGTGTAGCATAGCATATRCTAGTATGATTGAGGTGTACGTAATATAAAACAGACTATTTAGCATTAATTAATAAACATTTTGAATCGCAAGTTGTTTGCGTTCTTGTGATTGATTGATCGATCGATCGAACGAACCATCATCGTCCATCGTGTGATGGCGTTGGCAGTAGCGTTGTTGTTGTGTTTCGTTCGGCATCGATCAAGTGAAAAGGGGGTGACAGAAACAGGCATTTGGCTTGTGGTTTGATTCTTATGGGAGCCATCTACGAATGTGTTGCTTCGTCTCGTGTCATCACCTACTTTTGAGTTGAATTGTTTGGTGTGCGGAAATACCACCAGCTGAGCCGTGAATATTCGTTTCTTAGTAGCTCGCCCAATGCTGATGATCATAGATTTTTCCAGGCTCCACGTGCCCACAGGATGGTCATCATCATCGTCATCTCTTACAATAATATATAGGCATGTACAAAACAATACAGTGCATACTTGTTCGTTCGTTGTGGAGCAGATATAACGCGTGCTGCGTATCCAAGGCTGCCACCGAGTGGTTCACCTCGCTCTCGAAATCTTTAATCCGCCGGGAAGATACGCTGATCGTACTGTACATCTTGTAGCAGACAGGCAGGGTTCGATCGCAACCACTRATAATGGTTTTCACTTGCGAAGAGACATTCAGTGATGCCTGTAAATGACACCTCGTTCATATCGCTGTGTTGCGTTGCATGGACAATCACGAGGTTACCACTACTTGTTGTTGCTGCTGTTGTTGCTTTTGGAGGGAAACGACAAACTCGTCCAAGAACGTTCTCATTTCCTCTTCCGTGTAGAAGAGATCCTTCTGGATTTTCTTTCGTTGGCTTCGATCCATCACGGGGTGGACACTCTCAACGACTTCTCGCTTGAAGGAAACCTTGCGGGGACTCCTCCTGTAACAAGGCAGTTGTTGTTGTTGGTTGCTAATTCTTCCTTTGGAATTTCTCTCCCGATCTCTTTGCTGGAGCAACTGATCTCTGTATTCCAGCTTGAAATCCATATAGTCGTATTCGTCGTAGTGAAGRTAGTATTTGTCTTCCTTTGTCGTTCGGGGACGCGTGTACACAGCCGTCACCAACTCCTCTTCGAACTGCACCGACCTCCTCTCTTTTTTCTCGCGATGGTTCGAGGAGGAGGAAGCGGCGACCGGAAATTCATCCTCGTCCATGTCAACTGTAGAGGCGGTTTCGTCGTCATCGTCGATGTGCTTGAGGTGCTGTTGCCGATTTTGGTTCTCCAATACRACCAGCGAGTCGCGATGCTTGACAACGGAAAATAACCCCGATCCCAACAACTTGTTGCCCCTCTTCTTGGAGGTTCGCTCGTGAAAGCTCACCACACATGCATCCGTATCTGTTTTTCTTTCCATCCCATTTGCTGTTCGATCACCACATGTTCCCCCCAGAGCGAGTCTCTTTTGATTGCCCCTCGACACAAAGAAAAGGCTCCTCGCCAACAGCGTTGCACAATCGCTATCGCCCAAAATTGTGTTCAGGGTGAAGTCCATAATGATTCCGTGCGCGTTGGTGTTATAGAAGAACAGGAATACTATCGTCAGRTATAGCAACATGTAATTATAAGTTATCAATATTAGGGCTCSGGAGTTGGTCAGTGGTCGATGCAATGGACAACCTTTCCATGTGGTGAAAAGGTACGATTTTGTGCAATGGAATTTTTCTGTTGAGAAAAAATGAGAGACGGAGATGTACGAAAGTAGTGCTTTCTTTCCCTTTCGTATTGTTTTACMACGGTTCAAGTACGATGGACCATTAGGTATCTTTYGTCTAACCACACACAACATGTAGAATTACACTCACCTTCTGTTAAGTGTTCTCCATGTTCCATTCTCCTTCTTTTGGAAATGCAGAAACCCTTCGGTGCGTGTGTCTGCTAGTGCGTACTCGTACCTCGCGTGCCTCCAACTTCATAGACCCTTACAAGATTGCTTCAATTCCTTGGCTCATAACCCATAAATCGGAGTGTCCAATGGGAACCCTCTTTTCGGCCACGTCGATGACGAGGTTTTTGCGCATTCGTCGAAAAAAATCGCGCCACGTAATTTGGCTGGATCGATGACCTCCTACCGGCATCAACACTAAAGCCTCCCCGACAAACCCACTTGGCGGGAGACCATGACATAGGGTACGTGTCCGAAAAACAGACAGCGTCATGACGCGACCCCAAATTGACATCTGGGGGATGGACGAATCAGAGGTCGACAAGCCAGTTGGTCGAGAGCGTCGGATGGTSACCAATGCTCTCGAATACGATTACGAAAGTGTGGACCACCTATTCTTAGCAGTTCTCAATTACGGTCGTATCAGTAGTTCTAGCTGATCGATTTCGTCGATCGACTGTGATTGGCTCCATGCCTCAACAACAGGTGGTTGTATTCATAGTAGTACTACTAGTACTACTATGACGACACTCAACAATCAAGAGGAATCTCAACACCAATGACACCAGGAAAGATCCAATGAACACTTATAGTAATTGTCCCTCCTTCAACATCTACTAGTAGTACTACTAGTACTAGTAGTACTACTAGTACTGCTAGTACAACAAGAAAGCACCACCAGCAGCAGTACTAGTACTAGTAGTACTGGTACTAGCTAGTACTAGTACTACTGCTGGTGGTGCTAGCATGATTGGCAATACTATACTACTACTAGTACTAGTATTGTGCTGGTTTTGCTATTGTGTGCTGCTGAAGTTCAGGCACTGCATCAGCAGGAACAAGAGACATGAGTGAAGCTTAAAGAACTGAGCATCAGCAGGAACAAGAGACATGAGTGAAGCTTAAAGAACTGATCAAGGAACAGTTCAGACCAGAAGAAATGAGAATACTAGCTTGATCATTGTTGGAAACTGACATGATTACTATGCCAGTAGAAATGCTTTATCTTTCAGATAGGTTGAAGCTCATGTCCAGCAAGCTAAACAAAAGTAACAACAATAGGCAGCAAGAAAAACTGGGGGATCATGCTTTCTGAGCCCAACATGTAACAATATTTCTTGAAAAGTTCACCAAAAAGAAGGCTTCATTRCTGCTAGTATTTAGTACTAGTATCATAAATTGCAGTACCAATAGCAGGATGATTTAACAAACCAAAATGTCTGAATAGCCAAAAAACAAGTGTGGTTGTAAAGCAATTAATCTCRAGTCACTTCTTCTTTGGCAAATTGTGTGGTTGTGGTAAGAACACAGCAGAGGCAAACAAATAAMACCTGGTGATGATCACTGTCCCAAACCCTATGAGCAATCTGATTTCAAGTTTCACACTGCTGCAAAATGAAACTAGTAGTTTTACATCACTGCTGCTGCCTACTTGGTTCAATTATAAACACCACTGTTTCAAGAAGGATGCAACATGCCAGCCACTCTTGTCACAGCAGCTATTCAAGAAGAGGACATTTTATGGGTGATATGCTGGTGTAAATTTGGAGTTCAGGTTCTTATCATAAGAATGGTGTAGAGCCATTCAAAGAAACCTACTACTAAGAACTAGTAGTCAGAAGCATAGTACTAAGTCTTATGTCTCCAAAAATTCAGTCATTGCTGTTGTGATTAGTCAGTCCAGCATTAAAAAGAACCCAACAACAACAATTATGGACAGCTTTGGCTAATCAAACAAGGGGCCTCCTGARAGTACAGGGAATAGGAATCTGAATTGAGATCTGGATCTAAGATTCAGCAATGATGGGAAATGTGGTCCATAAAAAGTTCATGGTGCCAACTGATGGTGTTGGTCTGATAGTAGTACTAGTGTTTTGTCATCTTCTGTACTACTAGTAACACAGCATACATGAAAACATTCTGCATTGCAGCTAGTCAAAGTTCCAGTGGGAATTGTTAGGAATCCAATAGTTGTCATTGTCTTCCTCAAACATATGATAGTATGATTCCAATTCCATACTTCTGTTGTTTGAGAACTGTACTAGTGAYACAGCCAATTGATATGTTGTCATTGCAAAACTTTGTGACAAGGAAATTCCTATCAAGGCAGCAGATAGCAATGTAGAGAAAATTGAGGATATTGCTTGTTGTCCACTGAATGTTASYASYRGTKG